TTGTTATCAAATTCAAATTTTATTTGTCACACACACAACCATACACAGTATGACATGAGGTGAAATGCTTGTAGCTGTGCAATGCAATGCCCGACCATATATATATATCTATATATATCTATATATATCTATATATATATATATATTCTTTTTATGTGAGAATATAAATACTGGTTTGTGAGGATGTACTGGTTTTCAGTATTTTAAACAAAAGTAAATGATCAGTAAATATCCACATGGTGGGAAGATCATTGTTAATGCCACCATTACTAGCTTATCTGCGAAATAAAGTCTTTGTGTTCTATGTTTGAAAGGAACATCAAAGGAGATAAAGTTATCAGAATGTTAAGTTAGAACATCGACACCACTTTTACCAATATTTATCAAGTCCCAGCAGCTAGTTAGCTAACGTTAGCTTTAAGTCTTAAATTGAGAACAGGTAGTTTTTTTTCCCAGGCAGATTCTGGATTTTTGAAGAATCCAGACAAATTTCAGTCTTTAGTTCAGTCTTTAACCTAAGCCAATTGTCGGCTGGAGATAACTGAGCATCTGCAACACAAAATCGGCATTCATTTTGGCAAAGAAGTCATTTAAATGTTAAACTACTGCCATCAGCTGCTGTAGAATCTCTACTCAGGGAGCTTCTAAATCGACAAGCCATTTAAAAGATCTTCTTTAAATGCTATGCTAAGTCAAGTGTTATACATCGGATAAATCTTCATTGCCACAGATGTTGGCACATTTAAACTAAAATCACATCACAGTGTCAAGTGAGAGTGAGGAGGTGGCATTTGGCATGTTGTATACATTATCTACTTGTGCACATACATAATGTTCTTCAGAGCTACAGGGCAATAAAAATGACACTTGGACCTCGGTAAGTTTCCAGGTTCGTGTGGACCAGAAAAACGTGGCTCGAGTGGAATCTAAAACTTGGACGAGTAAAAGGGCAGACCATTATACATATCAACCCTGAGCCTGGCCCAGTCAGTCATCTTCTGGGTGGAGCTTTTCTCTCGGGTCAGGAAACGAGCTGCCTTCTTCAGCTTGTCCTCATTCCTCTCTAGGTAACGCAAGCCCTCAGCCTGCAGCGCGTTGAGCTTCTCTTGGCGGTTCTCGTCTAAGGAGAAATCTTCGCTCATGTAGGGGTTGAAGCGAAAGTAAGTGTTTGGAGGAAGGAAGGCGTCGAGCATGGCGTGAACCTCTGGAGGGGGAAGGAGAAGTAAGAGTGAGGTCATATAAGAGAGAATAAAAAAAATTAAAACACAATTCACTTCATACTGCCTTACGAGGGGCTAGCAAAGTCAAACCTTATCTATCAGCGCTGTTATAGGATTACAAGTGTCACTGAGTAAGCGCTCAGGGCTAGAGTGTGAGGTAACACCAAGTGAAAATGTCTAGCCTGTCTATCACGGCTGTTTTCATCTGCCTTGCATGAGCAGTTTAAAATCAACATCCTACAAATGCAAACAAACAGGCAGCGGGTAACAAAACAGGCCTGAAGCACCCAAAAAGGTTTCTGTCTGAGTTCCCACAGTATTAAAACCAACCGTCTCCAAGGCTCTGCAAAACTCTACAAGGAGTAACTTATCTGGAGGTGATCTGGAGAGTTTTTATAGAGCAAATCAGTGTTAGACTATTGTGTGCTGAAAAGTTATACACAGAGACAAGAACAGCTTACTCACAAGAGATAATGCATGTGGTTAAATCAGAGATGAACCTTGTTTTCATTACTTTAATAAAGCACTCATTATTCAAAATTTTATACTGTCAATCATAAACAGTTTGGTCTTGTGCAGTGTTCTACTATTTTTCCTCTGCAGAAAGGATTAGTTGTTAGATAGTTGTTAGATAGTGATATCATCACCTTCCTATTGAAACACGAAACAATAACACAAAGACTCTAGAATTGCTGCAAACCTTTCAGACTCGTTTCTGTGTCTTGTAAGAGATCCATGCATTCACCAAACAAACTGAAACATGCAACCTGTTTGCTTAAACACAGTATCCTGCGTTTAAGCAAACAGTTTGCACGTATATTGGATGTACAAGGTCTTTATAAAAATAACAGCTGTTTCAAGAACGAGTGGCCCAAGGTCATTTTTCCAAAACACGTCTGAAGATATATAAAAAGTAATATTCTCCATCTTTGTCACGGAAACCCTATTAGATCTGCTTTATCTGTCCCCAACAACAAACACAGCTAAGCTTGATACACCAAAGACAAACTAGGAGGCTTGCGAGCACTAAAGCTTTTGAAAAAGAGGAAATCTGTGATAAACACTCTTTCTAATCTGCTGTTTCTAAATAACAAAAGCCCGCAAGAGAGCTAGGAAAGGGATTAATCCCAAAATACAGGACGAACAAGTGCAGAGAAGCATCTAGGTCACACACACACTGCACCACAGCAGCAACAGGGAGGGGAACAAGCCAAATTTAGGCACAGCAGAAGTGCCCATGTCTAGAGGTGATAAGGAGACAAAGAGGTTGCTGCTACAAAGGGCCACAGTGGGATTTATCTAGAACAAAGTCGACTTGCGGTGCAGTGTTTTCTAAAAAGATACCATCAAAAATCCTAAATCTCCCCCTTAGAAAAGAAACAGAAACAGGGAATGATCACTGCTAATGTACATTTATTTAATCTTCTTGTGTAGAGGAAATACTATAAACAGACCTGAAACAACACTGTAAACAAAGGCAGTTCAGTTCACAGTTTTTTGTACTGCAGCCATCTTTACACTATGACTTAATCCTGTCACGGCAAGTTTCAGGCTTTCATCACTCCTTGGTTGACACAGGTGTGCTTTAGAATTTAGTTGTACATTTAGCAGCTGTCAAAGCTGTGAAACACTGGCGATCACAATAGGTCGCCATCATTTTGCGGTGCATCCTTACCTTCAGTGTCTGTAGCACTGCTGATGACGTTGGTGAGTTTTGTTTTGAGGCTTGTATATGCAGCGTTGCTTTTGCCAGTAGATTCAAAGCGACCCGTACCGAGCGAGACCACACACTCCAGAGGCGTGTCAGGCCACAAGCACTGGCACTCATGTATAGCAAGTGCTGTGGGGTTGTTAATCAGTAGACCTCCATCCTGTGAAAAAACAACAACAAAAAACCCAAAAGTGCTGTTAGGCAACCTGTTTACAGGCTAGGTTTGGTGTTTCATGCCAACACCAAAGTCAGTGAAACCAAATAATTGGGGTTTGAAACCTTTCATGGATTTTAACAGTCAATAGACAAAATTTCAGAAGAACATCTGATAAAATGAAGAGGAAAAATAAAATCAATCAATCAATCAATCAATGTGCAGCTTTAGTGCTGCTTGTAAGTCTATTAAACAAAGAGTCCCAGCATTTCCCCTCCCCTCACAGTTTCAGTCAGACTTGCTTTGATATCGAACAACTGCCCATGAGTGCTTTCGCTTTGGATCCATATTGTACCCAAGGCAGTGGGGGAGTAACTGGAGAGGCTGCAGAATTGTTGAATAGGCATGAGGCTGAGGGGCCGCAGGGCTGGCACCAGGATCAAACACACAAGGGCCCGTTCTCATTAAGGAAGCCGAGCTTGGGGGGGTTGGGAGCCGCAGGGCCCCAAATGTCTAGGGACACAGTAGAGCGAATGGTGCTTGTTTACATGGCCGTGTACACACATGTTTGATCGAGAGCACATGCTCAGTGCATACAATAATGTGTGCATTTCTGATAGCGTGTGGCATATGTACACACACACACACAGCAATGGGGGAAAACACCTCGCGTGTATAAATTTGAGAGTGCGATATGGAAAACTGTTCCATTAATCCAACATAAAATTGCAAAGCTCTGGCTATTGTAGCTGGACTGGAGGAAAAGCTCCCGTTACAACTGAAAAACTTAATGTACAAGTTCTCTACGAAAACCTGGAGTGCTAAAGAGAATTGATTTGGCATTAGATAACAGTAAAACAAGTTTAAGGGTTTACTGACACACTTGCAGCTCAGCTATGATTTACTTAGACACGGAGTTCTCTGCGTCAACTGCACTGTCAGCAGCTCGCTTGCACTGATAAAAGCTGTGCTGACACAGAGCAAGCAAGTCTGTGTCATCAGTTCATACTATAATGAGAAATGCAAATAAATACAATTTAAAAGACACATTTTCCATTAAAAAAAAAAAAGAAAGAAAGAAAGGCACACAAAACCTCTCAAAACATTTTAATGATATTTGAGTAGAAACAAAGGTTATGATTGATCTGTTCAGTTTGGACAAAGAGCCAGCTGCCTTTGTATTAATCATAAAGGCATTCATTGACCACAGATATCATGAGTTACAGGCTATAGCTGGTGTTGTAATAATGAATCAACTGGATAAATAACTTCTGGTTTTATTGTCGTAAAATAAAAAGTGAAAAAAAAAACTTCATTGGAAGGTCAAATCACAGAGTAAGGTGGTGGATAAAGACAGCTGCAGACATGAGCAGTCATTCCTATTACACTAATTTCAAGTACTGCACACTGCCTGGAGGACGCAAAGACAGTAGTTTCTACTGTGTTCTACTGTCCCGTGGATGAGTGCACGGATTCCCAAAAAACGTTCAGGCATTTGTTCGTCCACACGGAGCTTAGCTGGGCTCAAGCAGACCCGTGCATACTCACAGATGGGGAAACTAGCACTTTGCTGAACTCGCATTACGTTTCATTCCTATCACAGTATTGATTTAATTATGATTCTGTTATGATTATTACAGTAGTTTATATATTGCACGCCAATTTTTAATGATGGCATTGATATCAAGAAAAGAAATCAAGAAAAAAAAATTCCCTATAGTGTAACTGCAAAAAGCACAAATTGCGTATTTAATCACCATATTATGGTCTCAATTTTTCTGTGTGTTATTTCCATTATTCAACTTGTCTCTTTGCTTAATTGTTGCCGCTTTCCTCGGCAAGTTTCTTCAGTTTCACCAGACTTCAGTTCAATTTATCTTCATTGAAGCAACACCACGAGTAGGCGTGAAGTACTGACTCTGGTAAATCAATCTGCGGAAGAAATTTATTTAGACTACCTACATGATTCAATAAAACATCTTCATTTGACACTAGTGTGTTAAACCCATTCCAGGAGGAAGCTTTACACAATGCTGCTAACATTTTATTCTACCTGTTTGTATAGTTCACTTTTTCAGGCAGTCTCTCATAAACAATGCAGGGGGCTAATACCACACCAATAAGCAGATCAAGAGAAAACTGACTAATTTCATGAGATATGAATGGATTTATATATCACTAAAATTATTATGTACACGCTTCATCTCCATACTTTTCTGTGATAGTCAACTAAACTTTTTCAGGTTTTGAATACCTGCTTGGACCTAGCATACATTCTGAAGACATCACCACAGACGCATTTATCAAGGACGAATGAAATAACTGAGAAAATGTGACACATGTTCAGTCAAAGAGCCATTAGAGGTCAATAACATCTGTACAAAAGAATGTACATGGCAGGATAACCTTTGCAATAGTTCTCTATGGTTTTATGCACAGAGTAAGTAAACCAGCTGACGTATAACAGGTTAGTATTGGTTACTAGGTTAACTGGTTAAGTCACAGCCCAAGTGAATACTGGACTAGACCATTAACGATAAAAATGGGGGAAGGGGATTTTTTTTCCTTTATTTAAACACAAATTGATTTATATGTCATTATGACCCTGATGAAGGCCACGAGCCGAAACACGTTGGTTAGTTAATAAAGTTGTTCCTCTTTACCTTCCTGCATCCTCTCCATGCACCTTGGAAGTAGGTGAAGTTGTGCCAGAATTTGTTGTTGCTATTTATGCACAGAGTGACAGACATAAAGATAGAAAGACACTGCCAAGCATTAAACTACTGCAGTGGTTAAAATTTAACTAACATGAAAAACTACAAAGACACGTGTGTCTAATAATCTGTTATGATAATGTGTAATCAATCATTACTACGATGATCTAAAAGTTAGTTGCTGAGATAATAATTAGAGCCAGAGCCTCAGAGAGCACCATTTAACTGGCTGAGATGGAAGTCATACAAAGAAGGCTTCACTCTGTGACAGAGCATAGAAGAACTGCTGAGGTGGCCGTTTGTCCAAAGCACATCATTATGCACCAGTAGGTTGTCTGGCAGACCGAGAAATGAATCACATAAAAAAAAAAAAAAGAAAAAGAGGAAAATGCCTGGATTGGATGTGCCCGTAATAGAGACTTAGGGGAACTTGCTGCACTGGGCACCAGTCAAACCCAGCTGGTAACAAAACAACTAAGCAGTTTTCTTATCACTCACCCCAGTGTGAGAGGCTCCATTTTCTGAACTCTGCGGCAATGATGGCAACAGTCCGGGTCCAGTTATGGCTTCTTTGTGCTTAATAGCTGGGGGCAAGTTTCAGAGGCGCAGTGGTCGCGCTTGCACACAGTGCCAGGGCATATAACTTTAAAAGCAGACTGTGCAATGGTTGTCTGAGCGAGGGACTTAATGCTTTAGCTTGTCTGCGTCTCAGTGCACCTGCTGGACGAGCTCAGAGCGGGTAAAAAAGGTCAAGGCAATTATGAAAAATATGTTTTTGATAGAAAGACCTATTGCACCACTGAAAGACTGCTAGGCTTTCTTTCTGTATTCTCTCTCTTTTTTAAAAAAAAAAAAAAAAGTCATTTGTATAGTCATCTTTTTTACGCAGGTGTCCAAACAGGCTGGTAGTACCCCGACTTTCCAACAGGAGCACTATTTAACATTATTACTGCAAAAACAACTTTTTAACCATTTAAAAATAAGTGAAACTGTGAAAAGAATGTTAAGAAGAAACAGACATGACTATATTAAAGACTATAATGTAGTGTGTTGCAGAAAAATCTAATGAAGTTGGCATGCTTACTAGCTACTGCCTGGTTGCATTCTAATGTAATTTTCTCAAGACATCATACATATTGTCCATCTGTCCAACACCAGAGGAGCAGACTTGCCCAGAGATCATGTTGCCTTTTTATATGCTCTACTATTTTGACCTCTTGTCCTACAGTCAAGGGCAGGAAGTCGATAAATTGAATGGCAAAAGCTAGAACCAGAAGATGAGCGAGTCAGCTAGAGTTTGATTTTAGCCTTGCAAAGCTTCCTGTACTTATGCTTCCTGGAATGCTAGGCCAGGTGAGTTTGCAAGTTGAGACTGCATAACTTCTGCAGCCAATCATCACAAGGTTTGGTTGTTGGATTATTTGAATACGACAGTACTGTAAGGCAATGGCAGACACAAACAATAGTTGCTTTGACAATAATTTTACACTTTTTTTTTTTTTAAGTGTTGCTAAAAGAAAAAAGTAGCATTACTTGGGATTTGTTGCATGCTATTGCAGGACAGCAGCAACTCCTGATAGACTAAGATACTCTACACACTGTTTTTATCAAAGTCCAACCGATAGAGGACTTTTTATACTAATAACGAGATCTGGCAATTTAAAAATTCAATACTCCAATGTACTGGACAACAATTTTTTTTCCACGAATTTCCCTAACAACTCTTACACGTATTATTTATTCACTCGTTCACGCTCTGCCCGAGTCTGCTCAGATTAGATGACTGTTGTGTTTGCAGCTTTCCAAACCAACAGTAAAATCGCAGAGAACCCTCTGGTGGACAAACTATGCAACATCAACACTTATAACATGGTTGAAAGGTGAAAAGTCTTTTTTTTTTCTTTAACTTTTTCCATTTTCATTCATTGGCCAATACAAATACCAATACTTTACCTTTTTACACTGGCCAGTACTACATTTTCACACAAAGATTCTTGAGGCCAGAGCACATCTGGATGATGAATTAAGCTGAAACTATGATCCACTTGGGACAAACTGCAAATAAGGCTGCATGCAAAAAGGCACCACTCAAGCTGTCTGTCAAACACGCAGCATGACGCGAGGCAAAGGTCACTTCCATTTACGAGGATTTAGAGCTGTAATGCTGCTTATACTCGAAATGACTCAATGTCACTGTAAACAGGAATGCCATGTGTCTACAGACTAATGTCCTCAGAGAGTACACCCCTGTCAGTAGCAATCATTTAACCCCCTTTGAGGTTAAATTCTCTA